CTAACAGTAAAAAGCCAGACAGAACAGTTAAAGTCCAAAACATATAATGTAGGAATGGATAAGAAGTCCAGTATTTTTGGGTTACTTTTGTGGATCTGCATCGTGGAGGTCTCTGGATAGTGGTGAGTCTTGACCGAGTTAGGACATAAAAAGGGGAAAAAAAAGAACTAAAATAGTGTAATATGTCCAAAGCAGATAAAAAGGATATAACAATTCCGCTGTAGTTTCACTCACTTATTTAAGAGCTAGTACAAGCTCAGGTAGAATGGGTATTCAGTGGTGTTGATCCCCCACTGATGGGATACATGTGATGGTATTCATCTGTATGTCCCTCAGAGTAGAGATATACCGGCAGAGAAAAATAAAACACAATAGTGCTCTATGTGTGCACAATACTATATATGGTAAAAATAGGAAGATCTTATACTCACATTTATTTAAGTGAGCAGGAAATACTTCTCACTTTTAGGGTGTGGGTGGTATGATCCCCACCTAGGATTCTTTGGTAAGTATATCTTAAGGAATTCTCGATGACCAGGTTAAAAAATGAATAAAAAGGTATATGGCACAAAGATAAAAAGCCAATATTCCTTTATTAATACAACTTAATATAATTAAAACAACCAAAAAAAATTTGCCAACTCAGGGCTTTCTCAAATGGCATTAGATTTATGGTAGATGATAACCAAGCTTTGGCGCTCCAGCAGTTGTGGACTTCATATCCCATAATGCTCTTACAGCTATAATGATTGCAAAGCATAAGGGGAGACCTCTGAAGAATGTTTAACCCTGAACTAGAGGGTTACCAAGTCCCTTAATCCACCCATTACAAAAACAGAGGATCCTCATTCCGTTGTCTCTATATACACTTGGACAAGGAGGTCCTCAAGTCTCCTGATTGCTGATACTTATATAAAAGAACAAGGGATGTTCCTAAATCCCTTGACTACTCATTATGTGCTAGTTTAATAGATGTAGAAATAAGCAGAGGGAATGGTAAGTTTAACAGAAAATAAGAAGCTGGGCTGGAGAACACCAGGAAAAGATATGGAGGGGGAGATAATCGCAGTCCTGAATAATGAGAGGTGGAACACGGGGGGGAATCATGTGGAGAAGAACTGAGATTGTGTCAGTAGTGTGGAAAAGTTGCTGTATAACTAATATCACATGAGAGAGGGATAAAAGGAAGGGCACTGGAATAGAAGCCAGAGATAGAGGATAAAGCAAAGGAGCTGGTATAGTAGTAGGAGTCAGAGGAAGGAAATGGAGGGAGCTGGTATAGTAGTAGGTGACAGAGGAAGGAAATGAAAGGAGTTGGTATAGTAGTAGGTGACAGGGGAAGGAAGTGGAGAGAGCTGGTATAGTAATAGGTGATAGAGGAAGGAAGTGGAAGGAGTTGGTATAGTAGTAGGTGACAGAGGAAGGAAGTGGAAGGAGCTAGTATAGTAGTAGGTGACATGGGAAGGAAATGGAGGAGCTGGTATAGTAGTATGAGACAGAGGAAGGAAATTGAGGGAGCTGGTATAGTAGTAGATGACAGAGGAAGGAAATGGAGGGAGCTGAAATAGTAGTATGTGACAGAGGAAGGAAATGGAAGGAGTTGGTATAGTAGTAGGTGACATGGGAAGGAAATGGAGGGAGCTGGTATAGTAGTAGGAGACAGAGGAAGGAAATGGAGGGAGCTGGTATAGCAGCAGGTGACAGAGGAAGGAAATGGAGGGAGCTGGTATAGTAGTATGAGACAGAGGAAGGAAATGTAGGAAGCTGGTATAGTAGTAGGTGACAGAGGAAGGAAGTGGAAGGAGTTGGTATAGTAGTAGGTGACAGAGGAAGGAAATGGAGGGAGCTGGTATAGTAGTATGAGACAGAGGAAGGAAATGTAGGAAGCTGGTGTAGTAGGTGACAGAGGAAGGAAGTGGAAGGAGTTGGTATAGTAGTAGGTGACAGAGGAAGGAAGTGGAAGGAGTTGGTATAGTAGTAGGTGACAGAGGAAGGAAGTGGAAGGAGTTGGTATAGTAGTAGGTGACAGAGGAAGGAAGTGGAGGGAGCTGGTATAGTAGTAGGTGACAGAGGAAGGAAGTGGAGAGAGCTGGTATAGTAGTAGGAGACAGAGGAAGGAAATGGAGGGAGCTGGTATTGTAGCCCATGGATCAGCGCAGCTAAGAGGAATAGGCCTTGACAGAGCCAGGAGGTAGGCATAGCAGCCACAGGAATTTAGTGACAGCCAGCATGCTGGGTAGGGCAGAGCCATAAGGGGAGTATTTATACCAGCCATTATATGAAGTGGCCATTTTAACTGAACCTAAGCTTACCTGTCAGTTGTGAAAGCTGCCTGCCCTGGAGGGAGAAGGCAGCAGCATGGAGGCAGCATAGCAGAACAGGCAGCATGGAGGCAGCATAGAATAACAGGCAGTACTGAGACAGGAGGCAGCATGGAGGCAGCATAGAAGAACAGGCAGTACTGAGACATGAGACAGCATGGAGGTACAGGAGAGGCTGGAGTGAGCTGCTACTACATGATCACTCCCATCAGCAGCATGGAGGCAGCATAGAAGAACAGAGGCAGCATGGAGGTACAGGAGAGGCTGGAGTGAGCTGCTGCTACTGCATGCTCACTCCCATCAGCAGCATGTAGAACAGGCAGAACTGAGACAGGAGGCAGCATGGAGATATAGGAGAGGCTGGAGTGAGCTACTACTACATGATCACTCCCATCAGCAGTATGGAGGCAGCATAGAAGAACAGAGGCAGCATGGAGGTACAGGAGACAGCATGGAGGTACAGGAGAGGCTGGAGTGAGCTGCTGCTGCTGCATGCTCACTCCCATCACCCTCAGACAGAACTCCAAGCAAGCCACCATCCTGGTCACAAAGGTTGTGGCAGAATCGTGGATGGTGGCTGCAGGAGCAGCTGGGGGGCCCCAAGCACGTCTGCTACCACCCCCCCCTCCCCACGCGGCGGTGGAACAGAGGCCAGCAAGGAGAGCGAGGACGCCCCAGCGGCAGCCTGTGAGTGACATCGTTAGTTCGGCAGCCCGTGAGCCTGTCAGGAGGCGGCAAGGGGAAGGCTGAGAATGAGGTCGGAAAGCAGGCAGGAGTTGGAGGGCGGCTGGCGCCGTATGTTCGACACGGCGCCGGTCAGGCAAGACGGCAGGTCAGGATGAGGCCGCACAGGAAGAGCGCCCCCTGCAATAAGGCGGGGGGGCGGGAAAGCACAAAGGACGGCGGAATCCAGCATGACATGATGGCCGCCAGGCAGGGAGAGCGGCAAGAGGCGTCCTGGTGAGTCTGCCCCTGGTGGCATACCTGAGTGACGGGGGGAATGATGCAAGGGCCCAGCAGTGTAAAAGCGGTCGTCCCCCCCAATGGGCAGGCGGGGGGGTCCAGGTCTGCGGGACACAGACGGATGCGGCCCTGGATGGGGCCAGGGTCAGGTCAGAGGTGAAGGAAGGGGATAGTGAAAGCAGCAGGCGGAGTCTTCACAGGCACAGCAGAGCAGCTATGGAGGGGAAGGCCAGCAACCAGGATTAATTAAAGGGGCCACAAGTGGATGAGGCGGCCTGGGAGAGGCCAGGTACTGCAAGCAGAGGGCAGAAGAGAGGACATGGACGGGTGGAAATGGACGTAAGGCACAGAGGCAAGCGGGAGCCCCCTGGGGGGCGTTCTCAGGAGCAGGAACACAGGAGGAGCATCAGCAGGTGTGAGTACGACAGGGAGCAGCGCAACGACAATGACAGGCACAGCAGCAGCAGGAGGTCGGATGAGTGATGGAGGAGCAGGTCGAGGAGTGTTACTTCTACGGGCTTGAGGCTGGACCAGCGCGGACAGGAGTCGGCATCCACCGGATACTCCAGAGCCTGGCAAGGTGGATGGAAGGACAGCGCAGACGGGGGTTCGGGCGGTGAGTCAATAAACACACCACACTTTTTTAAATGGCATAAATCATTTTAGAGTCATGATCAAGGAAAAAAGGGGCCGTCTCCACGGTGCCGAAGGGTGGGGTAACCAGAGCGCAGTCGGGAGGCCGAAGTAAGGGTGGTGGTGACGGCGTGCCGGGTAAGGGAAGGGGAATACGGTGTACCGGGGACATCTGACGGGGCAGGAGAACAGTTAGATGTGTGGCAATATTCCAGGCGTGGCGCAACAAAATAGGCCCGTGTCCTTCTTCCTAATGATAGTGCAGGAAATGCGCTCTTTCTGGGGGCTGACGGCGCACCCCCAGGAGGTGCTGTGCTGGCTGGACAGAAGAAAGGTCAGTGCAACTGGGGACCGTCGGGTAGGCTTCGATACGGGTGTTCCGGAGGCGGTGGGAGTCACGGTGTCAACTGACGCGTCAAAAAAGGAAAACCTAAGGCAGGAAGGGTACTCGGCAGGGCTTCAGCCCCGCAGTTGCGGCTCGGAGCGGCACCAGTGATGATCAGTGCATTGCTGCTGTGGCAAAGGCAGTAAGCCTCCCATGAATGCGCTAGTTTTATGGCTGAGATTGTTGAGGGGGTTTACGCTATTCCATTCAAAGTTGAGGGATCAGGAAAAGTGGTGGGCGAATATCAAGTCCATGGGGGAACTTCCGCGCCATTAGCGGACCTGTGGGTGTCTCCATGGGAGGTGGTCCCCTAGAAATGGGCGGGCAAATTCTGTCCAATACAAAACTTATCGCACCCAAAAGGGGCATCGGTAAATGAGGACATCGCCGCGGAACTGTTCTGTATCATTGGCATCATTCGGCCTTGCCGTCGAGTTGGTTTGGGGGAACAGGACGCATTCGATTATTGGCGACCCTTCCATCTTTGGGTTGCATGTTTGCAGGTTCCTATTGGTAACCTCTACTTGCCAAAGGGCAGTTCCATTCATGTTCCTACTCGGGAAGTTGGATCCGTCTGGGAGTGGGAGGTGAAAAAGGAATCAGAAAGGGGTTCCTTAGTACATTATCTGTAAGATAGCTTGCTGTGTGGGCTCGGCTGGGCCGGGCCGTTGTGGACATACCTTACGGTCACGGGAATCCTACCGCACATCTTGCTTGGGCTGGAAATTGTTTCGGTGGTAGGAGAGTGTCGATTGCCTGGGGTTCAGTTGACTGCACTTCGGGAGTTCAGGCTGAAGGTTCGCAGGTCCAAGAAGGTCACTGAGAAATCGCAGTTGTTCATAAGGCAGTTTCAAGTTGCATGTCGGGTTAGTCGCGAGGACTGGGTCGGTAGCCATTTCATGGCGAAGGCTACTTGTGGAGCCTTTGCGGGTGGTATCGAGTTGTTCACAGATACCTCTGGGAACAAAGATTCCGGGGCATACCTGGAAGGCAAGTGGTGCGCAGAGTGGTGGTGGGAGGCATGAAAGGTAAGTCCTCTTATTCGAAGTTGGCATCTTTTGAGTTATTTCCATTGGGAGTGGCTGTGGCTCTAAAAGGTGAAGGATTAAGGGATGAAAAGTCATAATTCACGCACAATACGGCGGGGTTCAGGTGGTTTACCATCCAGCCAGGTCCTCGGTTCAGGAGGTACGCCGATGGCGGCGATTCGTATCACTGTTCAGGTATCGGATGCAGGCATACATCCCGGGCGGCTTACTGGTAAAAGGGGACAGATCGGTGCTGTCACGATTCAATTCCCGCAGGTGTTTGTTCGAAGGGGTTTGACAATGTTGGGTTTGGATCCCGGGCACTTTGGGACCCATTCTTCCCAGGTGATGGCGGTAACAGAGGCACCCCACCTGGTTTGAAGTGAGGACCTAGGGAAACGTTTAGGCAGGTGGGAGTCAGTACGGTTTAAGTCCTGTTTCAGGCCAGTCTATTTGGTTTAATGGCTATGGACGTATGGGTTTGTGTTTGGGGCTATGCCTTGTCGCTAATTACTTTCGTTTCAGGTTTGGTGACATGGTTGGTGGGTCATTCTTATATCTAAGGGGCACAGATGGGAGCCGTGTTTCAGTTCAAACGTAACTGGGCTTTCCTTTGAAATTGGTGGAGCAGGAGTGGTTTTGTATTTCGGGGATTTTGGTGGCAAGACATTAGGGGAAAATTTTTTCCGGGAGGTAACAAGGGGTACCGTCCAGGACATTCTGGATATTGGCATGGTCCCGGAAAAGGAATTGATCAGGTGGAGGTGGACCAGCTATGGGAGCTGGCCACGGGTGTGGTGGTGGTGCGGTCCGAGATGGTTCCTTGGTTACATTGGAGACATACTACGTACCCGGCCGTGGTAGCTCGGTGTCGAGGACGACTTAATAAAAAATTGATGGCGGTATTTCTCAGATGTGGGGGCGGTGTAACAGTGAGACACAACGAATTGGGAGGAAAGCTCCCTGGGTACTCCAGGTGGGATGGGGTACATTTTCGGATGTAAGATGTGATCTGTTTAAATTGGGCCTTCAGGAAGTCATTCAACAGGCCTTATTCCGGTGTGGTGGGGGTCGCTCAGGAGCTTTAGGTGTCAAGTCCTGAGCTGTGGCGGGGAATGGCCTGGTTAAATCGGAGGGTAGATGGAGGAGAAAGTGGGCATCCTGAGGTTTAGTGTGGATGGGGCAGTGTTGCACGTGGTTGGTAGGTTCGAGCCCGTCGGTGGCTCCGAACCTGGGGGTGTGGTGGTGTCTTGGTACACACTACACTGGAACTGGTGGGTAGCGGTGTCTTGGTACACCCCTACAATGGATATGGTGGGTAGCGGTGTCTTGGTACACCCCTACAATCGATATGGTGGGTAGTGGTGTCTCGGTACACCCCTACAATTTAACCTGGTGGAAATGTGGTCAAATTGGGCGGCCAGTTTCTGTGTTAACATGTTATTTAGATTGTTATCTATTGTTATTATTGTGGGGTCATTGCTAGGGGTATGTTATGTATATGGGGGAGGTTAATATTATTAAGATTTGTTGGCAATGACCCCATTTGTTATTCCTTAATTATTTATTAATAATTTAATAAAGCTGTGGACAAATTATTTCCAACAGTATAACCTGTGTCCGTGTTTTAATGGGGGTTTGGGTAAGGTTAGCGCATATGCCGGCAAATCCGACTGTGCGCCTGTCAAGTAGTAGGAGACAGAGGAAGCAAAAGGAGGGAGCTGGTATAGTAGTATGAGACAGAGGAAGGAAATGGAGAGAGCTGGTATAGTAGTATGAGACAGAGGAAGGAAATGGAGGGAGCTGGTATAGTAGTATGAGACAGAGGAAGGAAATGGAGAGAGCTGGTATAGTAGTATGAGACAGAGGAAGGAAATGGAGGGAGCTGGTAAAATAGTAGGAGACAGAGGAAGCAAATTGAGGGAGCTAGTATAGTAGTAGGAGACAGAGGAAGCAAATTGAGGGAGCTGGTATAGTAGTAGGAGACAGAGGAAGCAAATTGAGGGAGCTGGTATAGTAGTAGGAGACAGAGGAAGCAAATTGAGGGAGCTGGTATAGTAGTAGGAGACAGAGGAAGCAAATTGAGGGAGCTGGTATAGTAGTAGGAGACAGAGGAAGCAAATTGAGGGAGCTGGTATAGTAGTAGGAGACAGTAGTAGTAGCTGGTATAGTAGTAGGAGACAGAGGAAGGAAATGGAGGGAGCTGGTATAGAATCAGGAAATTGGAACAGAAAAGGAGGGAGATTGGCTCCAGCAGTTGTGGACTTCATATCCCATAATGCTCTTACAGCTATAATGATTGCAAAGCATAAGGGGAGACCTCTGAAGAATGTTTAACCCTGAACTAGAGGGTTACCAAGTCCCTTAATCCACCCATTACAAAAACAGAGGATCCTCATTCCGTTGTCTCTATATACACTTGGACAAGGAGGTCCTCAAGTCTCCTGATTGCTGATACTTATATAAAAGAACAAGGGATGTTCCTAAATCCCTTGACTACTCATTATGTGCTAGTTTAATAGATGTAGAAATAAGCAGAGGGAATGGTAAGTTTAACAGAAAATAAGAAGCTGGGCTGGAGAACACCAGGAAAAGATATGGAGGGGGAGATAATCGCAGTCCTGAATAATGAGAGGTGGAACACGGGGGGGAATCATGTGGAGAAGAACTGAGATTGTGTCAGTAGTGTGGAAAAGTTGCTGTATAACTAATATCACATGAGAGAGGGATAAAAGGAAGGGCACTGGAATAGAAGCCAGAGATAGAGGATAAAGCAAAGGAGCTGGTATAGTAGTAGGAGTCAGAGGAAGGAAATGGAGGGAGCTGGTATAGTAGTAGGTGACAGAGGAAGGAAATGAAAGGAGTTGGTATAGTAGTAGGTGACAGGGGAAGGAAGTGGAGAGAGCTGGTATAGTAATAGGTGATAGAGGAAGGAAGTGGAAGGAGTTGGTATAGTAGTAGGTGACAGAGGAAGGAAGTGGAAGGAGCTAGTATAGTAGTAGGTGACATGGGAAGGAAATGGAGGAGCTGGTATAGTAGTATGAGACAGAGGAAGGAAATTGAGGGAGCTGGTATAGTAGTAGATGACAGAGGAAGGAAATGGAGGGAGCTGAAATAGTAGTATGTGACAGAGGAAGGAAATGGAAGGAGTTGGTATAGTAGTAGGTGACATGGGAAGGAAATGGAGGGAGCTGGTATAGTAGTAGGAGACAGAGGAAGGAAATGGAGGGAGCTGGTATAGCAGCAGGTGACAGAGGAAGGAAATGGAGGGAGCTGGTATAGTAGTATGAGACAGAGGAAGGAAATGTAGGAAGCTGGTATAGTAGTAGGTGACAGAGGAAGGAAGTGGAAGGAGTTGGTATAGTAGTAGGTGACAGAGGAAGGAAATGGAGGGAGCTGGTATAGTAGTATGAGACAGAGGAAGGAAATGTAGGAAGCTGGTATAGTAGTAGGTGACAGAGGAAGGAAGTGGAAGGAGTTGGTATAGTAGTAGGTGACAGAGGAAGGAAGTGGAAGGAGTTGGTATAGTAGTAGGTGACAGAGGAAGGAAGTGGAAGGAGTTGGTATAGTAGTAGGTGACAGAGGAAGGAAGTGGAAGGAGTTGGTATAGTAGTAGGTGACAGAGGAAGGAAGTGGAAGGAGTTGGTATAGTAGTAGGTGACAGAGGAAGGAAGTGGAAGGAGTTGGTATAGTAGTAGGTGACAGAGGAAGGAAGTGGAGAGAGCTGGTATAGTAGTAGGTGACAGAGGAAGGAAGTGGAGAGAGCTGGTATAGTAGTAGGAGACAGAGGAAGGAAATGGAGGGAGCTGGTATTGTAGCCCATGGATCAGCGCAGCTAAGAGGAATAGGCCTTGACAGAGCCAGGAGGTAGGCATAGCAGCCACAGGAATTTAGTGACAGCCAGCATGCTGGGTAGGGCAGAGCCATAAGGGGAGTATTTATACCAGCCATTATATGAAGTGGCCATTTTAACTGAACCTAAGCTTACCTGTCAGTTGTGAAAGCTGCCTGCCCTGGAGGGAGAAGGCAGCAGCATGGAGGCAGCATAGCAGAACAGGCAGCATGGAGGCAGCATAGAATAACAGGCAGTACTGAGACAGGAGGCAGCATGGAGGCAGCATAGAAGAACAGGCAGTACTGAGACATGAGACAGCATGGAGGTACAGGAGAGGCTGGAGTGAGCTGCTACTACATGATCACTCCCATCAGCAGCATGGAGGCAGCATAGAAGAACAGAGGCAGCATGGAGGTACAGGAGAGGCTGGAGTGAGCTGCTGCTACTGCATGCTCACTCCCATCAGCAGCATGTAGAACAGGCAGAACTGAGACAGGAGGCAGCATGGAGATATAGGAGAGGCTGGAGTGAGCTACTACTACATGATCACTCCCATCAGCAGTATGGAGGCAGCATAGAAGAACAGAGGCAGCATGGAGGTACAGGAGACAGCATGGAGGTACAGGAGAGGCTGGAGTGAGCTGCTGCTGCTGCATGCTCACTCCCATCACCCTCAGACAGAACTCCAAGCAAGCCACCATCCTGGTCACAAAGGTTGTGGCAGAATCGTGGATGGTGGCTGCAGGAGCAGCTGGGGGGCCCCAAGCACGTCTGCTACCACCCCCCCCTCCCCACGCGGCGGTGGAACAGAGGCCAGCAAGGAGAGCGAGGACGCCCCAGCGGCAGCCTGTGAGTGACATCGTTAGTTCGGCAGCCCGTGAGCCTGTCAGGAGGCGGCAAGGGGAAGGCTGAGAATGAGGTCGGAAAGCAGGCAGGAGTTGGAGGGCGGCTGGCGCCGGTCAGGTAAGACGGCAGGTCAGGATGAGGCCGCACAGGAAGAGCGCCCCCTGCAATAAGGCGGGGGGGCGGGAAAGCACAAAGGACGGCGGAATCCAGCATGACATGATGGCCGCCAGGCAGGGAGAGCGGCAAGAGGCGTCCTGGTGAGTCTGCCCCTGGTGGCATACCTGAGTGACAGGGGGAATGATGCAAGGGCCCAGCAGGTAAAAGCGGTCCCCCCGCCCCCAATGGGCAGGCAGGGGGGGTCCAGGTCGGCGGGACACAGACGGAGGCGGCCCTGGATGGGGCCAGGGTCAGGTCAGAGGTGAAGGAAGGGGATAGTGAAAGCAGCAGGCGGAGTCTTCACAGGCACAGCAGAGCAGCTATGGAGGGGAAGGCCAGCAACCAGGATTAATTAAAGAGGCCACAAGTGGATGAGGCGGCCTGGGAGAGGCCAGGTACTGCAAGCAGAGGGCAGAAGAGAGGACATGGACGGGTGGAAATGGACGTAAGGCACAGAGGCAAGCGGGAGCCCCCTGGGGGGCGTTCTCAGGAGCAGGAACACAGGAGGAGCATCAGCAGGTGTGAGTACGACAGGGAGCAGCGCAACGACAATGACAGGCACAGCAGCAGCAGGAGGTCGGATGAGTGATGGAGGAGCAGGTCGAGGAGTGTTACTTCTACGGGCTTGAGGCTGGACCAGCGCGGACAGGAGTCGGCATCCACCGGATACTCCAGAGCCTGGCAAGGTGGATGGAAGGACAGCGCAGACGGGGGTTCGGGCGGTGAGTCAATAAACACACCACACTTTTTTAAATGGCATAAATCATTTTAGAGTCATGATCAAGGAAAAAAGGGGCCGTCTCCACGGTGCCGAAGGGTGGGGTAACCAGAGCGCAGTCGGGAGGCCGAAGTAAGGGTGGTGGTGACGGCGTGCCGGGTAAGGGAAGGGGAATACGGTGTACCGGGGACATCTGACGGGGCAGGAGAACAGTTAGATGTGTGGCAATATTCCAGGCGTGGCGCAACAAAATAGGCCCGTGTCCTTCTTCCTAATGATAGTGCAGGAAATGCGCTCTTTCTGGGGGCTGACGGCGCACCCCCAGGAGGTGCTGTGCTGGCTGGACAGAAGAAAGGTCAGTGCAACTGGGGACCGTCGGGTAGGCTTCGATACGGGTGTTCCGGAGGCGGTGGGAGTCACGGTGTCAACTGACGCGTCAAAAAAGGAAAACCTAAGGCAGGAAGGGTACTCGGCAGGGCTTCAGCCCCGCAGTTGCGGCTCGGAGCGGCACCAGTGATGATCAGTGCATTGCTGCTGTGGCAAAGGCAGTAAGCCTCCCATGAATGCGCTAGTTTTATGGCTGAGATTGTTGAGGGGGTTTACGCTATTCCATTCAAAGTTGAGGGATCAGGAAAAGTGGTGGGCGAATATCAAGTCCATGGGGGAACTTCCGCGCCATTAGCGGACCTGTGGGTGTCTCCATGGGAGGTGGTCCCCTAGAAATGGGCGGGCAAATTCTGTCCAATACAAAACTTATCGCACCCAAAAGGGGCATCGGTAAATGAGGACATCGCCGCGGAACTGTTCTGTATCGTTGGCATCATTCGGCCTTGCTGTCGAGTTGGTTTGGGGGAACAGGACGCGTTCGATTATTGGCGACCCTTCCATCTTTTGGGTTGCATGTTTGCAGGTTCCTATTGGTAACCTCTACTTGCCAAGGGGCAGTTCCATTTATGTTCCTACTCGGGAAGTTGGATCCGTCTGGGAGTGGGAGGTGAAAAAGGAATCAGAAAGGGGTTCCTTAGTACATTATCTGTAAGATAGCTTGCTGTGTGGGCTCGGCTGGGCCGGGCCGTTGTGGACATACCTTACGGTCACGGGAATCCTACCGCACATCTTGCTTGGGCTGGAAATTGTTTCGGTGGTAGGAGAGTGTCGATTGCCTGGGGTTCAGTTGACTGCACTTCGGGAGTTCAGGCTGAAGGTTCGCAGGTCCAAGAAGGTCACTGAGAAATCGCAGTTGTTCATAAGGCAGTTTCAAGTTGCATGTCGGGTTAGTCGCGAGGACTGGGTCGGTAGCCATTTCATGGCGAAGGCTACTTGTGGAGCCTTTGCGGGTGGTATCGAGTTGTTCACAGATACCTCTGGGAACAAAGATTCCGGGGCATACCTGGAAGGCAAGTGGTGCGCAGAGTGGTGGTGGGAGGCATGAAAGGTAAGTCCTCTTATTCGAAGTTGGCATCTTTTGAGTTATTTCCATTGGGAGTGGCTGTGGCTCTAAAAGGTGAAGGATTAAGGGATGAAAAGTCATAATTCACGCACAATACGGCGGGGTTCAGGTGGTTTACCATCCAGCCAGGTCCTCGGTTCAGGAGGTACGCCGATGGCGGCGATTCGTATCACTGTTCAGGTATCGGATGCAGGCATACATCCCGGGCGGCTTACTGGTAAAAGGGGACAGATCGGTGC